TTTTCATTAAAAAAAAAAAAAAAAAAAAAAAAAAAAAAGAAACAAAGAAAACTAGACAGAAAGAAAGAAAGAAAGAAAGAAAGAAAAAAAAAAAAAAAAAAAAAAAAAAAAAAAAGAAGAAAAAGAAGAACAATCTGTTAGGGAAATGTCTTGGTCGGAAAAAAAATTAAGGAGTTCTGGAAAGAAGTGCCCAAAATAGACCCCAGTGGCAAGAGAATGTGTACTTTCTCCCCTCTGTGGACGGGTGTCTGGTCCCGTGGACTGTAGGATTTACGTAGTTTCTGTTTGCAGCAGCACCGGGTGACAGCCAGATCGCTTGCCGCTGATGCTTTCTAAGTTGGATACCCATACCCATAGAGAGGTACTGGATTGGTCTAGACAGCAACCAACCCTCACCCTGCTCATGGTTTTTACCCATCACTCAGAGATGAGAATGTCATTTGCCAGGACATGCAGACACAAGGTCAAGGGCAGATTCCGAAGAGAGAATGATGCGAGCAGGGGTAAAAACAATGGGGGGGTGAAAGTGGTTATTGGTAGAATGTGGAGAGGTGATAATGCGAGTGGTAGGTGTTCTTGGAAGGGAGGGCATGCCACACCCACTCTGTTACATCTCTACGTGTATCAGTCCGAGGTGGTAAAAAAAAAAACAATGCCCAGAGAGAGCACTGAGAATGTCCTGACGGTTTGTGTACCCTGTGACTGCAGCGAGCGGGCAATCTGATGGTGTCTGTGAGTTGCCCATTCCTGCAATTGTTAAACCACACGAACTCCTTTAAGTTGTGCCCGTTAACAAGCCACAATTTTAGGAAATGTACAGGCCACTACAGGAGCGCCCAAATTCATCCACCGTGAAACGTTTCTACTCTATTTTTTTCCACAGCGGATAGCTGGGTCAAGTACTGGTGGATTGATTAACTTTGATATTTGATACTGTCCAAAAATGTAAGCATAGAAGAGACGACCAATGAGAATTAGAGAAAGCCTTTGGTCAAAAAAAGTTCTATGGGACATATAGGGCAGAGAAAGCCTTTTGTCCAAAAACTTTCAAAGGGACATATAGGGCAGCTCTGTTTGACTAACTTTGATATTTGATACTGTCCAAAAATGTAAGCATCGAAGAGCCGACCAATGAGAATTAGAGAAAGCCTTTTGTCAAAAAATTTCTATGTGATATATAGGGCAGCTCTGTCTCACTATGTATATATATTATATATATATATATATTATAAGCCTCCTGATGAGTCGGTGAAACTCCGACGAAACAGTTTGTCACAGCCCCTCGTTTGTTGTCCTCTTCTCTCTCTCTGCCTACGGTTTACCGGGCAGTTCTGTTTGTGACGATATATTATACATTATAGGGAAAATTTTCGAAATGCCCCTGAAGTTTGCTTTTATTTGTGATTTACCCCTCTGACGGCTGACTTACCCTGATTTGCCCCTCTGACAGTCGTTCAAGTTTCCAAAAGACCCCTGGCGTCGTTTGGGCCTGAGACATTTTCAATATGCCACTACCGGTACCTGTGCCAAATTTCCAGTTTGCCCCTACCGGATAGCCGTTCAGTACAGGCACAAGAATTTTCCATATGCCCCTACCGGTACCGTACATCTCTTAGGTATGCCCTTCTGGTCGTTGCTGGCAGTAGCGGGTGTTCCCCTGGCCCTGGGAGGCTGGGAGATGTGCTACCCGGGCTTGTGTGTTGTCATATTCCCTATACACTCAAAAAAGTCATGACTGTGCCAGACTGTAGGTTGTGTGTGTGTGTGTGTGTGTGTGTGTGTGTGAGAGAGAGAGAGAGAGAGAGAGAGAGAGAGAGGCGTGGA